CTTCTTTTCATTTTTCCTTTTTTCCCAGTTTTTTCCCTCCTACCTTTTACCCTTAACTTTTTTTATTTTTTTTGTTTTTTTTTTTTTTTTTTTTTTTTTTTTTTCTCTCCCAATATGTTAAAGGTATTTGATTGCTTGCTTCAAGATTGGAAGTGATTGTGACGTTCATATCCTTTACTATGTCTGCCCACCGTCACTTACTAAGACAGACTGCAGCGAGGGTACCAAGGCAGTTTTTATTTTGTATTTTTAGACAAATTTGTTTACCCCTCTAAGGAGAAGCAAACACTTGACTTGATCAGGTGGTACTGTGTAAACTGTGTCTTACTGGACCTAGGTATAGCTTAAAAATATGAAAACTACTAAGGAATGATTCAGTGCAGTGTAGTTAAAAGGGAAGAAAGGAATAAAATAGAGGCGCTTTTTTCCTTTGCACTCTTCAGGTATGCCTGGCAGTACTTGGACAAGTTCATTTTGAACAGAAGGTTAGAAAAGTTGGGCTGTAAACTCCACATGGGGCTCTCTGTTTTCTTTTCCTCCCTGTTTTGGTAATCATGGGATCAGACAAGGGAAAGAGGTGATGAAGGCATTCTCCTTTTGATACCCCTTCAGGTTCTTGCTTTGCTGTTGCTTAGGTAACCCATGGGCTGCAGAAGCCAGGAAGAAGGCCCCTTTGCACAGGGCAGTTACAGGCCCTCCGGCAAGTAACTGTCCTGTGCAGCTGTCGCAGGAGTCCTCTGGATCAGGGTTGAAGAGCCAGGCACACGCCCAGGTGGCTCAGGAAATCAGCCCCAGGTTGTGAAAATGCGTCTGAGGCTACCAGAGCCAGCTGGCTGCCATCTTGCTTTCCTTCTTGTCATCTTTCGTGTCTCCTGGTCCTCCATGCTTCTCTCATCCTGGTAGAGTCCTGCTGAAATGTTACTGGCATATGCTTTAATACCAATTAAGCCAGGACCTCTCTTGAGTTTCAGTGGAAAGATCAACTAAAATGAGACATTTTAATAGAGAACTCCAGGAGTGTCTTATTTACTTTCTGATCTGTCAGACCAGACTCATCTGTTGAAAACGTAAGTTAGACAGTTAACTCTTCTGTGCTTTGGTGAATTCTCATATCACTGAGGGGGCATAAAATCCAGGCAGCTTACTGTGACCTGCAAGGCCCCAAGTGGTGTGGCCATTGGCTACCCTTCTAATCTCAGCTGATAGCATTCTTCCCTGCCATCTTGTCTTTCCTCCAGCAAGCTAAGTTTGTTCCCAGGGTCTTTACATTTGCTGGTGCTCAGCTTGGAAAACCTTCCCTTCAGCTCTGTTTCCTTGTGTCATTCAACATTTGGATCTCAGCTTAAATGTCCTCTCAGAAAGGCTCGGTGTAGTCCCACGGGCACTCGTAGTCACATCCCATGGCACTCTTTCTTCATAGCCCTTATCAGGACATAGTCTGTCTTTCCTCATCTTATCACTCTCTGAGGGAGGGGCCTCATCTGTCTTATTTGCCACCTTTGTCAGTTGTACCAAGGACACTGCCTATATTCACTCAGTGAGTATTTACAGAGCAGACAAATGAATGAAATAAAACCAGAGGCTGGAAGCCTTTTAGGTGGCCCCATTACCCTCCATTTCTGTCCCAGCTCCCAAGCACCAGATGACTGGTTCCATAGCCTTCTATCTGCACCTCTACCAAATCCCAGCCAGTTCCCCCGACACCTACTCTTTAAGGGTGAATAAAGGAAGGCACAGCTCCCAATGTCATGCAGCCACCAGCCCCGGGGCTGATGAGGGTAGTAGCTAGGCTCAGCAGGTCCTTCAGCCCATCCTTTCACGGTCTCCTGAAGAATTGTGCTAAGTATGTTATATTACCACGGTGGCTTTGCCTATTCTACTTATTTTAACATTCAGCCTTTAGCACATTCAGTTACACAGCTCCTCTATCAAGGCCACTGCATCCTTTTTTTACATTTTTAAATATTGAATGAGGAAAGGGCTCAGGGTTCATTGTCTCTCTGGAACCTGGGGAAACTACAAGTTTGGTTTTACCCCACAAAAAGCAAGCAGTCTTTCGCACCTCCAGCCTACTATGGACACCAGTCAGGTTTTTTGCCTGTTTTTCTTTCTTTGTTTTGCATACATGCTCATCTTCTGCTCTCAGCCATACTGATGATAAGACTCATGGAAGGCCGGGTGCAGGGGCTCATGCCTGTAATCTCAGTGCTTTGGGAGGTTGAGGCAGGTGGATCACCTGAGATCAGAAGCTTGAGACCAGCCTGACCAATATGACGAAATCCTGCCTCTACTAAAAATACAAAAATTAGCTGGGCATGATGGTGTGCGCTGGTAGTCCCAGCTACTTGGGAGGCTGAGACAGGAGAATTGCTTGAACCCGGGAGGCAGAATTTGCAGTGAGCTGAGATTGCGCTATTGCACTCTAGCCTGGGCGACAGAGCAAGACTGTGTCTCAAAAAAAAAAAGAAGGATTGGCTGGGCATGGTGGCTCATGCCTGTAATCCCAGCACTCTGGGAGGCCAAGACAGGTGGATCATCCGAGGTCAGGAGTTCGAAGCCAGCCTGGTAAGACCCTGTCTCTACTAAAAATACAAAAATTAGCTGGGCGTGGTGACATGTTCTTGTAGTCCCAGCTACTAGGGAGGCCGAGGCAGGAGAATTGCTTGAACTTGGGAGGTGAAGATTGCAATGAGCTGAGATCGTGCCACTGTACTTCAGCCTGGGCAACAGAGCAAGACTCCATCTCAAAAAAAAAAAAAAAAAAAAAAAAAAAGGAAGAAGAAGAATGGAATCTCAGTCTCCTGAAGATCATGCCTTTCATTGATTTTTTTAACATTTTTATTTTATACTTTTAAAATGATTTCACATACAAGTATTTTTGATCTTATAGACACTGGGAAGTGGTAGGTGGTGGATAATGTCAAGTAACACCTTCATTGTGTGGGTGAGGAGGTGAGGCCTTAGTGTTGTTCTGACAGTGCTCAGCCACACATTCCTTCTCACTGCCCATACTCCCCAAACAGTGGATGTTTCATTTATCTTTGGGAGGGTTCCTAGATCAATAAAGGCTTTGACCAGAGAGCTAAATTTAAGGCTTCAGGGAATATAAAAATAGATTTGAAACTGTAAGACCTGCGTTCTAGCTATTAGTGGCTAGGTGATTGTGGTCAAATCACTTAAATTATGTGTTCTTATCCTTAAAATTGGCAATACTGAAGCCTACCTGACAGGGTGGTCCCAAGGTTCAGATGAAATCATATATTGGAAATTTCTATGTGAATTTTAAATTACTATAACGATGGGAAATGTGTTTCAACTTTGGTTCTATATCCTTATTCCTAATATTCCCAATGGGGCAGTCCTATAGTTATCATAAAGTGATGTTTTTCTCTTGTTGAAATTAAACTTGCTCTTATGACCTTTAACTTTTGCACAACTGAGAGCCATTAAAATAGATTTCCTGGTTACAGTGATTGTCAAACTATGGGTAAAGGGCACTGGATAATTCTAAGTTGGTTCATTGGTTCATTTTAAGGAGAATTTTTATTTTTATTTTTTTTCTTGTATGCCTGCATTTTTACTTTTCAAAGCACTATAAAACAAATTTTCTTAGAAAGTCTGGAATATGAAAACCATGAACATTTGTATGCTTACAAATCTGCCAAATGATGCATGGCTAGTGATTCTCAGAGTATTTCATTGATACTCAGATGCTGCTTGTCCATTTATTTGCCTTCTGTATGCATTAGGAAACAGATAAGTAGTACCAATGTTTTAAAATATGGTAGAAAAGAAGCTGGGCCAGGCTCAGGCCTATAAACTCAGTGCTTTGGGGGGCCACGGCAAAAGGATCACGTGAGCCCAGGAGTTTGAGATCAGCCTGGGCAACGTGGTGAGACCCTGTCTCTTAAAA